GTCATGCGGAGGGGTACAGCCAGCCTGCACCCGGTGCTGAAAAACAGCACAACAGATGGCTTCTCTGAGGACCAAGCCTCTCTAGCTCACTCCGCTCCAGCCTGACTTTCCCCCCTGCTCATACTTGGATCCAAGATGAGGGACTTCCTCCCATGTTGAATAGGGAAAAGAGAATCTTGGAAATTCTATTTATTAGAATCTTGGGTTCTAATAAATAAGGTATCCCTTATCTAATGTTAAAGACGGTGAAACTGAAACAACCAGTTCATTTCTTGCCTTGGCAGAGACAAAAAATATTGTCAGCAAAACTAATGAATGTCTAAAGATCAGCATAATGTACCATAATGATCCCTGGCACTGGTGATATTTATTTCATAGGAACTATTAATGTGAACATTTTTATGCCAGCAATGTCCTAAGTAAATCTGAATGTGAACTTTGCATGAGAGCCAAATCCAAGGCAAACAAGGAGGCTTCCTTGTTTTTTCTAGGATGTGGCATAATGATTTATTGCGAGGCTATGGCAGTCCAGGCATAGTCTTTTGTTCAGGTTAATTCATACCACAGTATGTCATGGAAAACTAACTCATGATTAGAGGCAAGGAGAAAAGCTTTTTGTGTCCACTTGCAGTTAAATACACACCTCTCTCTCCAGCTTTGGTGTCTCTTTCAAAGCTATGCCTAACACATGGTATTTATGATGTGTTTAGGGATTTAGTGGTATCATGGTTTAGCATAGAACTTAAATTTGGAAACACTATTGTATCTACACTCATGCCTTTGTGCAGAATTCTTTTGTGTGTGGTTTTCTTCTGATTAATGAAATATTTCATTTACTTTAGCCTTTTTAATAGTTTGCTTTCAGGCATCTCTGAATCAGAAGGTTTTTTTCTTATTATATTCCCTCCAGCTATTTCAGAATGCAGGTGCTGTTTTACTTATATCCTTCTAGGCCATGGACTACTTGCTCTCTAATCTGGCCAATAAATTGAGACATATCCACCCTACATTTCAAAATGTTGTTCTGCATGTAGATACATTTTAAAATTTCATACACTACTTGCAATACAACTCTTGCAAAACTAGTTCTGTCTGTGATTCAGTAGGAATGATTTAGAAGTGTTATAATGGCAATTCCCCATCAGCTCTCAAAGACCAGCATGTGTGTTTTCTGCTGTAGCTAGCTGTGGAATTTAGATTTATTCCTCAGTGAGAAGAAGAGTAGCTACAACACACAAATGATAGCCACTTCCCCTTTATTGTAGCCCTAACCTTGCTACTGGTTTGTTGATTCTGCATTACAACCAGTCTGTGCTTCACTTTACAGGCAGTCCTCAGACTTACGACACAATTGGTTCCTGAAAACCATGTCTTAAGTGGAAACGTTGTAACTCAGAAACAATTTTCCCATGGGAAACAATGTTATAAATAGGAGATTGGTTCCTGAACCAAGGCCTAATACCCTATTTTCACCTAAAATAACTCAGAATTTTGTACTCAGTCAATTATAGATGAGTAATATAGCTACATTAATATATTTATATTGTAAATAGCAATCATATTGATATAGAAGGACTTCTTTGAAGGGCTCTTGGTTGGACTTTTTGAAGGGTTCTTGGCTGGAGTCTTCTCAGGAGTCTTGGCTGCAGGTTTTTCTGGCGCCTTGTCTGCTTTCTTAAAGAAAGTGTCCAAGGAAATTTGGACAGATGTTCTCCAGGGAGATGGGTGACACAGTGAATTTGTTTGCTGGCGTGGCTTGGCATCAGATCAAGTGTTGTAAATTCAAAACTTACGTCAGAAAGTTGAAACAGGGTGTCAATTTATAAACATTGTAAGTGCAAAATGTTGTAACTTGAAATGTTGTAAGTCAAGGACTGCCTGTACTCACCTAGTATATTCTTTTACTATATATACTTCTTAACTAAAATTCCATACTAAAATAACATATGTAGTATAATAGTATAGTATATCTGTAACATATATGTATATAATATAATGATGCCTAATTCAGAAAGATGTTAGGGGGCTTACTTTATTTGTCTGTACAATATTTTGAGATCCTGAGATAAAGAATACTATGCATTTCCTAAATACTGTTGTTATTATTATTATGCCAGTTACTACTAATTATTGACTCTAGTTCCTTCACATGGCAACTCAAAATATTGCATATCTTTGTGCTACTGAGTTGGCTCCGATTGGGTTTCTGAATTAGTTGAGGAGTTTTAAAAGGCCAGTGATGATCATTAGAGTGCCCAAGTGGGCATGTTTCCATACGTGTTTTTTTTTCTCTTTGTTGGCATCATATTCATGCCTGTGTGCCAGGATTATGGAAGTGACATGTTAAGCCAATGCCAAGTATTTATTTTTGTTTGAAAGATAATAACTCAGATGCATTCAGCCATTTGCATGTAATATATCATACCTAAATTCTCCTGTGAAATCAGTGTGCCATTTCCCTAGGGCAGATAATGTGTATGTGTATAGTTATTTTAAAAGGTCATCATTCTGTCCAAGTTCAGCATTCTGTCCATGCTACAGGGCTATTAAATTTGCTGCAGTATTGTTTCTGTAGCTCATCAGCGTTTCCACTTTAAATCCTACTTGCAGGGGCTCAGGATTATGATGTAAAAATTCTTTCACTCGGAATAGAAGTGTTAGCTCTTGACTGCTTTACATAGGTGTGTGAACACACATATACATAGGGATGCGCACACACAAGAAAGTAGACATTGACCTCTATGAAATAGTAGAGGGTACAAATCAGGGAAATGGAGGAGAAAATGAGGGAAAGCCTGCCACTATTCTAGTTTATAAAGCACAGAGGGCTCAATCTAACTTAATGTATTCCAAATTTAATTGAAACTGAAGCTGATTCATAGGCGTGAACTGTCTAAGATAAAGTTTATGAAGACTAGTCAATCCATAGACATTCTCTTCTTCCTGAAGAAGTTTTTTAAAATCTGTCATTTGGGGCAATCTCTGTCTACATAAAACTTCCCATTGCAATCTCTGAGAATTGTGTCTACATAAAGATGGAGGAATTGTGCTTTAAATTTAAAAGATATGTTGCTTATAGAATCATAGAATCAATGAGTCGGAAGGGACCTAGACAGATCATCCAGTCCAACCCCCCCACTGCCATGGGCAGGAATGAGCACTGGGGGTGGGAGGGGTCATAATGGTGCGAACCATTGTTGCAGAGAGCACTGAATCCTGGCCTTTGGCCTTGAAAAAGGAGTTAATTACTTTCTCCTTAATTTTAACGTTCTTATTATTTAGCAATACTAGATCTGCAAATTTGTGGCCCAGTTCTGCAAGGGTCTGAGTCCCTATTCAGAGCTGAAGGTGCACATGATCTCATAGAAGGTGTTCAGCACTTTGCTCAGATCCAAATGGACTCTTACTCATTTGTAATCAAAAAGAAAAAAAAATCAGTTTACCTTTAAAAGAAAATGTCATTGGTTTATTTGAAGTGACTTCAGATAACTGCATTTATATTTGTTGAATTAGAATTGAGTATTCAAAGCAGTTATTAGACATTTCCCTCATGGTTTATTTAGCTATGTCTGGAAATTTTGGATGTCTCCAGGTGAGGGAGACCATTCTCTTGATATTTCCTGGGGAACATCCAGGATTTCCCAAAGTGGGGGATGGAGAGAGGGCAGGAGCAGCAACCTGTACTGTATGTTACTGTGGTACTGTTCCCTCTGCTCCTGGCCTCCTCTTCCCCCACCAGCATAGACAGACTGCACTGCAGGAGCCTCTGGGAATTGTATGAGTCCCTAAAGGAAGTGAAAATTCACCCCCACTTTCCCCTTCTGCTTCCCCTTCCTGCTTAGAGGTATACTCTCTCCCCTCCCTTTCCCCCATCTCCCAACTTCCATGCCTGCTGCTGCTGTTTCTCTGCTGTTCTGTGCGGGGTGGGGAGCTCCAGAGCTTGCCAGGCTACCCAGGTACTGGGATCAGCTGAGTAGAGGACAGTGGCAACAAAAGCAATGGGAGAGTAGTTCCTTTACCCTGCATGGTCCCCTGGGAGAAGATGTGAAGAAGGAGAAACCCCCCACTCCCCAGTTGATCCCAGCCCCTGCCCAGCAGACAGGAATGGCTCTGGTAGTTTCCTCCCACCCCTGGGGCAGTGGGAAAAGCAGCATCAGCAGATTGGTGGGGGGGAATGGGAAGGGAATAAGGGATGCCTTTGAGCAGGAAGGAGGAGGGAGAATTTTTACCTGCTTTAGGCATTTGAAAAAGCCCCTGGAGGCTCCTTTGGTGCAGTCTAATCCAAAAAGGCGGGGCGAGGGGCGGGGGGGAGGTGCAGTCACACCACTGTACCGCTCCTCTAGATCCACCCCTAGATATTTCCTACAAAGTCCTTTCCAGTAAAGTCACTTGAAATACAGTTTAAGTCAGACTTAGAATATATGAGAAAGCTAGAAAACAGTCCAAACTCTCATGTAATTTTTTTTCAGTGTTTTGAGAATTTGTTATGCTTGGTTAGTAGAACTAGTTATTGCAATACTGAGTTCTACCACTTCTCTTTACTGATACTGGCATGACAGTAAACATAGAACCTCGGGATTTCATTATGATTTTAGAGAGAGTCCCAAATAAAACCCGAGATCCAGTCTTTGATCTTTCAGAAGTACTACCAAATATACAATATTAATAAATTAAAAAAATAAGAGCAAACTTTTTAAATACTTTTCAGCTGTGGTTGCAGGTAAATTGGAAATCACAAGAGGAGGAGGCAGGAAGCTGTAGCTACAATTTCCAAACATAAAGTAGCGTCCTGTCCTTAACTGCATGAGTATATGTTACAAGAGTGGCAGTACTTGTGAACAGCTTGTCATTTTTACCTGAAATAAATACCTCAGAATCATCAGAAAGGCATCTAGCAAGCTTTTAAGTAAAACCAGTTTATGCTGTGAAACTGAATATTGCGCATACACAACTGCAGTAGCTGAATCTACCAGAACTATAGTAAGGCATCTCGGTATATCAAGGAACACTCACACAGCTTGCTAAATTGTAACAGTTTCTAAGTTCCAACATTTCTAACCAAAAAGGTAGAAACAGTTGTAGTGCATGGATCTGAAGGCAGAATTTGACCCACTAGACATGTCTACACATGCTATTAATGAGAAGCAATAAACTCCAGTGCAGCGTGTGTGCTCCAGTTTACATGTGTCCCTGGCACTGCAGTACATTCAGCTGGTGAGGGACCTGGAGGTCAGCCTGCCAGCCTAGGACTGCTCTGCCCTGGCTCAGTGTGCTGTGGAGGGGCTGGCTGGGGCACAAGGGTGCTATAGTGTGGGACTAGCTGGCAGACAGCCCCCACACTGAAGCACCCTCTGCCCCAGCCATCCCTGTCTCTGCCTACATGTGTGTTTTACCACATGCAACTATGCCACCATAGGATAGTACTTGTGTTAGACAGTACTATCTTACAGCAAAGTGAATTCATTTACTGCAGCCTAATAGCACTGCACATGCAGATGGTGACAATTTACTGCACAGCAAATTAACTCCATAGTAGACATCTCATGTAGACATGCCCACTGATACTAATAAAATTGTGTTCACTGCCTCCTACATCTGTAAAATGCCTGTGGCTGACTCAGGGATGAGACAGTAGTATTCAAAACCCTGTCTGAAGAACAAATAACATTAAAGAATAAAATGTTGCTTTTCTTGGACATAATTTTTTGTAGTATATAAATTAGGAGTGTTATAATTCAGCTGCAATCTACCCACTTTTGTATTGCTACTGTAAGTGCTAGAGGTATAAGGAAGTCAGTGATTGAAGTATTATTTTGTTTTGCACTAATCTTTATTAAAATGGAAAAGTGAAAGCATAGCAGGAGAGTTACTAGATTAAAAACCTGCATGGCACATGTAATAGATAAATGCATTGAAAATGGTAATGGATTTAAACAGCAAAATATACTCAGTCATTCACCTGTACACTGCTGTGAATCTTTTGTTGTTGGGATATGGAACTGTTTCAGGGGTGATGATCCTTAAAGTAGAAAGGCTTCATAAGCAGTCTATTGGCTGTTATTTATTAATTGTTATTTATTCATTGTAGTGGGCTAAGCTAATAGCAGATGTTGCAAATGAAATGTTTTTTGCCACAGTGATTATGCTTTTTTCAATCCCTTCAGTGATGTGTATGCCAGTGGAATTACAGATACAGAAGAGGAAAGGATCAAGGAAAGTGCTGCATACATTGCCAGAAGGAACCTTTTTGCTACAGGTGAAGGAGTTAGTGTGAGCAGCAGAGTGGCTGCTTCATCTGCAGAAGAGCAGCATGAGAAGAAATCAAGGAAAGTAGCAATACGAGAGTCAGCTGAACGTTTGGCCCTAAGGAAAACGGTAATAAAACACAAAAGAACCCATAGATTGTAAATTGTTTGCACTTGGGATTTTCTTCTTATTCTGTGTGGTATAGTTCCCTAGCACCTGATCTACAGCCAGGATCTACACCATGATTGTAATGCAGTAATCAAAGCAACAATCAACTGGAAGTGTTTTCAAAAGCTTGTATTTTGGCTTTTAGCCAGAACCGTGTTTTGAGTACATGGGAGAGGACAGTGCCTCACTGGAAGTACTGGAAGCTCCCGAGTTGCTTTTGGGAAAAAGGATTATTTTTACATTCTTCCTTTAAATGGTGCAGCATACTCCCTCTTACATAACTATGGAGGTCTGCTTGTGATGAAAGAGAGAGGCTGTGTAAAAGGGCTGTATAAAATCTGCTTCCTGAAGACAGTGGGAATTAAGGAAGGGAATTGTTAAAGGCATCCAAAATTTGGTCCAGAATTACTGGCAGCTTTGATATTTAGTACACAACTGGTTGAAAAAAAAAATACTGTAAGGGCAGTTATCAGTCGTTCACTTCCAAAATGGAAGGCCTGTCAAGTGAGATCCCACAGAGATTTGTACTGGGCCTGGTTCTAGTCAATATTTTCATGAATGACTTGAATAACAGAATAGATAGTGTACACACAACATTTGTGGATGACACCAAGCTGGGAGAGGTTGCAAGTATTCTGCAGGCAGAACTCAAAATCTAATTCTGGAAAAATATCCCAAAACATTTCTGGGGAATGAATCAGTAATTTTATGTTGGGTTTATAGTTTAATGCTGGGTTTTATGATGAAATATTCTCTTCCAGATAGAAGAGACTCAGGAATTTCACCGAAAGTTGAATGAAGATAAACTTTTACATGCTCCTGAGTTTGTTATCAAGCCTCGGTCCCACACTGTCTGGGAAAAACAGAACGTTAAATTACATTGCACTGTGACTGGCTGGCCAGAACCCCGTGTTACATGGTAGGCTTGCATCTCTATCCATGATGTTGTTGTTAATTTTATTTATCTGTTCTGAATTTGTAAACGCTTTGGAAAACTATGTGGGAGACACTCAGGAAAGGTCAATGGAGATATGCAATCAGTGCACTGTGATGATAAAGAAAGAGAGTCATGAGATAGAGGAGTGAATATGATGAGGGTTATTCAACCCTCCTTATTCACGCTGAATAGTTGCTTATACCATAAGTGGTTCCATTAAGATCATTACTTCTATAGTTTTGGTTGTGATGAGAAAGCTCATAATGAACATACTCTGAGGGCAAGTCTACACATTTATTAATGCACCAGAATTATAGTGCATTAAGTTTAGTATCCATAATTGGCACAACTGCACATTAGCACAGATGAATGCTTTTTTTGTGACAATGCGCAATAGACTAAGTCTGCTGCGCATTAGGGTGCTTTTTGTGTGACATGCTAATGTGCACTAGAATTAGCCTAATGCGCATTTAGTGTCTCGTGTAGATGTACCCTGAGACTCCCAAGAATCTCCAATAAAAAAGAAGAACAGAAGGATGTAGTTAGCTGTATTTGTACGATGCTAAGGTGGCAGACATGCATAATATTTCTAAAATAAAATTAAAAATTTAAAAAACAGAGACCATACTTTGTAGACCACTCTCCCAGTGCTCTTTACTTTATTATTTAAAATACTTTTCAAGCCCCTTTACCATTGTGGCCTCAGATAATCTTTAATGATTCTGGAACATTTATAACTGCTGTGGTGAGAGAGAAGCTGCTTAAATGCTAATCAGTTATAGTAGCCTGACTCCATGAAAATGAAGTCTCAAGGTTCACATGCACTCATGGAAGGTCCATCATAATTATTTAAAACCAGATTCTGGAGATAGGTTTAATGCTGATCCAAAGGCCACTGAATTCTCTTGGAAGCTTTCTATTTACTAGAATGGCCCTTGGAGAAGACCTTAATATAAAAGGACTCAAATATACTACTGAAAATTGTGTGGGAAAGAGGTGACAGTCTAATTAGACCCTTGGGCTAGTGTCTACCTTGACTGGTGTTTTATTCTTGTTTAACTGGTGCTGAACTGTAGAGCCTTTCTGTCTTATCACTTGTCAAGCTGATCCTTTTTTGCCTGGTTTCAATTCCATAAAAATATAATTAGTCGTTTAAACAATAGATAAAGACATAATAATGTTTTTTTCAGGCTTGAAATGGAACATCATACATATGTACTTTTATTATCTGTGATACTTTGAGACTGTGCATATATATCATAAATTTTAGCACATAAAAGATGACAGAAAATCACCATATGTTCAGCATTAAATGTTCATTATATCAATAAACTGTATAATGGGAACTATCTGCAAAGGCATTTGAAAAAGTCTTTTATCAGCATGGAAGGTATTATATATAGTTTTCAGTCTGTAGCCTGAATTACTTCACATTCAGCATGAACTCTATATTAGATATTAGCTTGCCACTCACTGTTAATGGAAAGAATGAACCAGCATGCAATCCTTGCAGCAGGTGCTTTGCTCTAGGATACAGAGCAACAGTGAAGTGCATTTACCAGCTCTCATTCAGTGTTTGTTAATCAGATGTCATTCACATATTCCCTTGCATGCCAGGAGTGATAAGTAAAAAAATCCTAGGAGTTTTCACTGTAGGAATCTTTTACTGTGTGATACAGTCTTACTGGCTCTAGTGGAAAGAAGATATGGAAACCTAGGACATTTGAGACCTGCAACAGAAAGTGAAAACTATTAATACAGAATGATAGCAAGCGGGTTAGGATCCAACATTAGCTAATGACTTGGCTCTTCTGGAATTTGACTTTCCAAAAGTAACAAGTAGTCCTTCTAAAGTGTAAGATGAATATAAACTTGCCAAAATCTAATCTATTATTCTTTTTACAAACCTGATAATGACAAGAAAAGAAGTATTCTAAACACTAATGTTATTCATTTAGAGCTCAGTCATACAATGGTCACTTGTGAAGCCAAGCTTCTACTGAACTCAGCAGGTGCTCAGCACTGGGTTGGAGCTCCCTATTGCAGGTTACAGGGACAAATCTTTAGTTTGGGAGGTCAGAAGTAAAATGCACACTGTTATATCCCCTGTCGTGCCCCCTAAAGAAAATAATTGGTCAGATACAAATAATATATACTTCTGGCAATACTTTGAAAGATTTATGGCATAATTTCCACTTGTTAGAAATCTGTATGAGATGGAATGAGTCCACATTCACGTGAAAACATTCAGGGGCATCCAGTCACTGATTTTTGTATCCTCATGCTTTTGCTATTTGATGAGAAGTTTTTCTCACAGTGTTTCTCAAGGTGATCACAGCATTTTATATATCTAGATGTAGATGTATCTTGACCCCAAATCCTTGTCTATAAACATAAGTAGTGTATTTCCACTTTGTGGGCATGTGTTACTATCTGGGGAGCCAGTGCACACGGTCAGTACCTCATCCACCAACTTGAGTTCTGTATGGATGCTTTGCGCATTCCCAGGCAGTACAATTTGAAAACAGTATAGGAAGGTCAGACGAGGAGTGGTGAAAGGTAGCTCCACCTCTATATAGGTCTACTAACCATTGTTTCTTTTGGGGCAAGATAATAAAAGAACAGGGGGTGTATACTGGCTGTCAAGCCACTCCAGTGCTATTCACAATCTGAGAAAGGGGATTCCTTCATCCGATTCCCACAGAATGCTTTTGTATCAATTCTATCTTGCTAGACTTTGCACTGAGATGGGGTTTGAATTGAAAGTCAGTGGGACATAGGTTCCTAACTCACTTTGGCACTTTTGAAAACCTCAACCTTAAACATCTACCCACAAATTTGCAGATATGGGTACTGTTCTTTTTTCCCAATAGTAATAAGCATGAAAAAGCAATTTTAATATAAGGGTTTGACAGCAGGTGGAGCTTTACTTTGAACTACATTTTAAAAGAATGCTCAATAATACTCATGGTATAAATCCAGCTGCATGTTTCTTAGTTGTTTTGTAGAACAGCATATACCATTGGCAGATTAGTTCTTATTTCCTTCCGTGGTCGAAAACAAGGAAATAAATTATGACATTTCTAAAAACAAAACCAAGCAAATAAATCCCTTTTGATGAATGTTTATTATAAATCACAAAATGATTGAATCTCTTAAAAGTAAGAATTATTGTAATTTTCATGCATATTAATCTAAAAATCCAATACTTTTATACATATATATTAAATAGTACAGGAAACCTTTGGAATCATAGAAAAGTAAGACTAGAAGGCACCACAGGAGGCCATCTTGTCCATCTCCTTGCTCAAGGTGAATGATCCCTGATTTAATCATCCCAGTCAAGTGTTTGTCTAACCAGCTCTTGAAACTTTCCAAGAATAGAGATTCCACAACCTCTCTAAATAGCTTGTTCCAATACTTGACCATCCTTATAGAGATTAATTTCATCCTAGTATCCAACCTAAAGTTCCTTTATATTGTCTTTATAGAGCTTCTCAGACTATCCTGAAATTAAAGAGTACAGATTTGCTCCAACTTTATTAGAAGGCCATCTTAGCTAGATAACCAATTTTGGTTGGTCTCCCAAGTGAACACTACTACTAAATGGCCATTAACTTATCTAATATCACTGTGTTTTATCCATAAGTAATACCTTCCTAATTAATAAACATATCCTGTACTATTAGTCTACTATTACTTTTCTTGAGAGTGAAGACAGCTCACACAGCGCCTGAAATTATCACTGCCTGGGTAAAATTGAATAGTGAAGTCCTGCTGTCTGATTAATTTCCTCCTTCCTTCATCTTCAGTCACTGAAGAGATATCTATACCAGAAAACCTTCCTACTGTAGACAGTTTGTATCAGGTAATAAATCCCCTTGTTTGTATAGCTTATGCCAGATCCTGAATTAAGATTAGCTATACCAGTAAGAGGACTTTTTGGCAGTATAACTGCCTCTACAGTAGGGTTTATTCCATCATAGATTATGCCTGCACAAATGTAAGTGTAGGATAGGACTTAGACTGAAAATGCAGAGTTTTGCTAATCTGTAGAAGTCTAAAAGTGTTCCCTTGTGGCTCTGCCACTCCTAAATAATGCGGTCACCTGAAGTTCATGGTAATATGCACATATTTGTCCATCATTTATTCATTTTTGTATTAAAGGATAAAATTCATTTGAACCCTAAAGTGAGAATTTGGGCCTCAAAAGGAAAGTGTGCAATGAATTTAAAGGATGTTAGACTGCATCTTATCCAGGAGCATCATAGAGAAACTACAGCTGATACGGTTAAACCTCTAACATCAAATACTTGCCCTTTTAAAGTAGATGATTTGTACTTCAGTTTACCACATGCTGTTTTTGTTGTTTCATAGGTACAAAAACAATGTGCCCATCAACGTACATACTAACCCGGGCAAGTATGTCATTGAAAGTCGATATGGGCTACACTCACTGGAGATTAGCACGTAAGGGAATACTGGTTAACATAAGAGATCATTTAAGCAAAAATGTTAACTGTTGATTTTTAAGTGCATTTATTTATTGTAGATGCTATCACATTGGTATAGATGAACTATCTCTAGTAAATATTTAAGCAGTTCTGCTTTTCATCTGTAATTTTCCTAAGTGAGGTACAATTATATTATAGTGCTGTTTACAGCTGAGTCACAAATAGTTGGGGCACTTTAGATAACTTCTGCTGCCTCCACCTTCTCAGGTTCAAACATTTTAAATTCCTCAGTATAAATTTGGTAACAAAAACTGTACAGGCTTTAAGTGTGAGAGATACACATTAGTATATCTAGCAAGTATTTTTAAATAAGGTGAAAATCCTGATTGTTAGCCCTTCCAAAAATGGAGAAAGTATTGAGCTTCCCCCCAGTACACACAAAGAGAAAAGTTTTAGCAGTATTCAGCCACAATAGGGAGCTGTTTTAAAGTAGCCTGTATCTAAGAAAAATTAAAACAGGAAGTCTATTTATAATATTGAACTTGCTGTGTGAAACTCCAGAAAGCTTTCCTTTGGCTGCTGGATTTTACTGAATTCATAATTTTTGCTCTCTGAGACCTGTGAGTTATAGCAGGTTTTGCATTTGAATTCACTAGAGTCAAGGCCCAAGCAGACAGGGAGTATTGTAGCTATTGTAATATGATGCATAATTGCCCAGAAGGCATAGGATCTGGAGTGCTATTGAAGGGTTGGAAAAAAGGAAGGGTGAATAAGGAATCTAATATGGCCAGTCTAGTTGCTGGTCAGAATGAAGGAAGAAGGTAGGGAAGACTTGCATGTTAATTTATGTGTTATGAGAATTCAGTTCAGATCACTGGAAGATGGGCAAAGTTTCAAGCCAAGTCTCATTTTCAGACCAGTTCACCCCTTCTACTTACCAAGTGAGATAGGCCTATACTACTTAAAGATCTCATTAGGCCAAGTTCTGTACGTTACACCCATGGCCTATCTAGGAACCACTGAAAAGAAAGGAAGTCTCAGTCCATAATCGTGTATAATTTATGCTGACTTCAGTTGGGGATTTTACTTGAATAAGGACTGTAGGTTAGACCCACAATTAAACTCAATTACAGTAAACAGCTTCTCAGTAAACACAGAATACTCCTATGATAAATAGTCATGGGGAGGACGGGGCTTTTGTCTTTAGAAAATTGTATATTTATCACAAATAATCTAGAAATGTTAAAATGTTGTGTGGCCTGCCTAAATATTTGCATCATTTCAGATGTGAATTTGAAGACACTGCTCAGTATCGTGCTTCTGCTATGAATGTTAAAGGAGAACTTTCAGCTTATGCATCCATCGTGGTAAAGAGTAGGTTTGCAGGGAATGTTTTCCCACAGTTTCTCTCTAAAGTGAATTTTAATCTGATTTACTTGGCTCAAAGACCTGATTACTTCTCAGTCATCATACCTAGGTTCACTCTCTCTTTTTTATTCCCTTTTTTGCTAGGATATAAGGGAGAAATTGATGACACCTTTTTTCATGCTGGAATTGTCACTATGCCTCTCAGCTGTAAGTTCAAAGATGTGTTTGCCTAAGCTATCCTTTAAAAATTATGGCTCATTGACAACTACCAACAAAATATATGGTAACATTTTATATAAACAAAATGGTTTTGATTTTTCAGAGAAGCTGAATACTATCAGTTCAGCTGAAGTCATTTAGATCTGCAAGAATTCAACATCTCTAAAAATCAGAATGTGTACTCTGATGTTATAGTTTGGTGTTTATTGCTATTCTTGTTTATTTAACAAACATCTACTGTACTTATCTGGTAAAATAGTGGGATATACTGTGTCATAGTCATAAAGAAGTCAGATTGGAAGGGACTTCCAGAGGTCATCTAGTCCAACACCCTGCCTGAGGCAGGATCATCCCTAACCCAACTATTCCATACAAACCGTAATCTACAGACAGGCGTGACAATATTTGTTTGATTTGGCCACAAAAAGTGGTCTATAGCTGTGACCAAATGCAAGTACACAGCTGCAGACAGCTTAAAAATAGCTGATCCAGTAAAAATCTGAGCCCTCATTGCATGACAGGTCAAATGAAGATGTTTCAAAATGGAGCATCTTCTGTAACTTCGGTCTGGACTGCCTTCCAGCAGTGCAGCTGTTTTCAGAATAGGAGCAGGAAAAGGGACCAAAGGGAATTTGGTCTGGGGGTTTTTCAGGTGGGGCAGGTGTATTGGAGCTCCAGCTTACCCACCCCACTCTCCCGTGCTGGCTGGGGAAGCCCTAGAATGAGCTCCCTTTGCTCCCTTTCCCCGTCCAGTTCTGCAAACTTTGCAGCCTGGCAGAGAGGAGGGGCCATTGCTAGGGGAAACCAGCTGCAGGTTCACAGCCAGCAGCTATATTCCCCTCCCCTCTGGAACCAACAGTGAACTTCTGTTTGTTCCAAGGGATTGTTGCAACTCAGAACAGTTCCAGCAAAATGTTCTCAATTACAGCGGGGAGCTGCACTTCTCTCTGCACCCTAAAACTCTACATAAGACTACCATGAGCCCTGACACAACATAGACCTAATACCCTAACCTGCCACAGGTGAAGCAGGGGAACTATGGCAGCCAGTATCTTGCTTCTGTAAAAAATACTGTGATATGTATATTGCACTTAGATCTGGAGGAAAAAGCATCATCCTTTGAAACATATAAGGCTATATTGGATACAAACAACATCACAGAATGTTTAGAAGAGGACAAATTTGCTTTGGCTTCAGCTTCATGGGCTAGACTAAATGAAGTAATGTTTGTTGCCTACTTTATTCTCTTTGGTTCCTTGATATCAAGACGACCAATAGTGGACATCAAGAGCAGACTCCTGCTTCACTGTACATGGCTAAATACCATGAACATAGCATATAACTGCAGTTTTTGCACTTAACACCATTTTTGGATTCTATAACACCATGTGAACTGCCCTGCACACCTGCCACTTCCCTGCCAGAAATAAAGTGGAGTAGGAGGGCCATCATGTGTGTTTGCCTATTATCCAGAGGCCACTCAGCCTTCTTTCTTGAAGGTGGTCCACTTCACCTTGCATTTAATAGTCATGGGATTAAATAGATGGAGAACAGTAGGGAAGTTTCTGCCCCATTGAAAGCAAGGGCCCAAGCTGAATCCTAGGAGTCCTCCCATCCAGGGTGATATCCATCTTACAGAGCCAAACACCAGCCTCCTTGCCTCACACATTTCCCTTTTGTGAAATTAAATTTAATCTCATGAAATGTAAGACAGTGACTAACAACAAGAATTCTGGCCTACTGATGTGTTTTCTTGCATACAACATGCCCCCAAATCTGATACTCACCTTGCAGGGGTGGTTCCAAAGAGTGTGTAGCGACATGGACACCCCTCTTTTGATGGAGTAAGGGACTCTTTTTAAGTCCCTGAAGAAAGTAATGATTAGCCCACCTCCTTTCCCCTCTGTGCTCCCCTCCAATTTCCCCCTCCTGCCTGCTGCTGCTGTCCCCACTGGCTGTGTTTACCTGGAGGCAGGAGAGGGTCCAGAATCACTCCAGCTTGCTCCAGCTGTGCTCTGAGGTGAGCTGGGCTCAGCCAGGGACAGTGGTAGTGATGGGTGAGTTTCCCCTTCTTGCTCAGTCCCCCTGTGGGTTCCCTGCCAGTCCAGAAGCAAGCGTGAGAGAAAGAAAACCACCTGCTGCCACTGCGACTGCTGTCCTAGACAGTTCCAGCTCCCTGAACAGCCTGGTGGAATGGGGCAGGAGTGACTCTTGAGTCTCCTCTCCCCACTCCCTTGTCCCCAAGGAGTGGGTGGCAGCAGAAACAGTGGCAGTGGTGAGTGGGAAAGGAGAGAGTGGAGAAGAGGGAACATATTGCTGAGCAGAGAGGGGAGGGGAGGAGGGAATGAGATGGAGAAGGGAAGATTCTTACCTGACTGATGGACTTTAAGAAGTCCTCCACTGCTGGTCCTGCTGCAGGGGATGCCTAGTATGGGGGAAGGAAACTTGGAGCAGGAGATGCAGCCACCCTGGCAGCACCAGTGGTGGCTCCCACACCCCCCTTTACAAAATCCTGGATCCACCCAAGTCATCTTGTTTTTGAAGGACAAAATGAAGAAAAAAGATTTTTCTATAGTTATGGCTGCATAAAGCAAAGGCAGAGCCTAATTTTCAGCTCTCCCTTCTTCTCTTTCTCCTTCTGCATAACTAAGGCAGAATCCCTAGCAGCTCCTGAAGATTGGTTTCTCAGGGTAGAACTACAGTTTGGAAAAGAACTAAAATGTCTGAGCTAAAGAGGTTATAAAACAGTCCATGAGCAGCAAATTAGGGTGCTTTCAACCTCCAGCAGAAAAAAAATCTGTTTTCCTACTTAATATATGTACCCCAGTTTTGAGGGGGCTGAGTTTGGGAGGAAAAGTGAGTATTATATGCTTGTTCATATATATGTATATACACACACACACTAACGAATTGCCCATCAAGCATGACGGATCAATTTCAAATAACAAAAACAAATGGATAGATTTTACTTTTATATATATTTTAAAAAAATTAAATATTTATAAAACTTAAATAAAATAGGCTGAACATTTGAAGATACCAATCCCTTCCTGCACTTGCCCTCGTTCAGTGGGCTGGAGGCAGACCCACCCATGCTGCCACCCGGCTTCTGCCTGAACACCTCTTTGCTGGGCAAGGGCTGGAGAGCTCCACGCCTTGCAACAGCTGCCCATGCCCTGGGGCTTCCTCTGCACCATCCCCTAATGACTCCTTCCCTGCTCAGGACTCCAGACGGGGCCACCACTGCTCACCCACTGTCTTGCATCCCTGCCCAGCTCCCACTTTTCCTCAGCTGGCCCCTCCCTCCGCCCTTCCTGCTGTGCCAGGCTCCCAGCACCCTCCCAGGAGGAGCTCAGTAGAAAGAGCCCTAGCCCCTGACTTTTTTCCAAATTATGGAAGTTAGGATCATCTTGACACGGTCACTAAACAAATGCTAAGGTTTAGTCCCACTGGAAATAGGACAGGTCTTACAGCCCTCCCATCAGGGGCTCACAGTGCCTATAGGTTCTTCCTGGTCACCTGCATCCTCGTTGATGTCCTTTTGGGAGAAATGAGGCTGGGCTGGTGCTGGTATCTGACCAGCTCTGTGGTGGTGCTGAGGACCAAGTCTATCTGTTGGCCTGGCTGCCTTGGCTTCAAATCCCTGTGGTCCTAACCTCAGGCAATGCTGATGGAGTCAATTGACTTCATGGTTCATTATAATCTACCTGAGTCCTGCTCTTCACTCCACAGGTATTAACAACATTCTCTCTTTTTTAAGTCTTGAAGTTCCACTAATCAAGCTTTTCTGTCTTTAGCAATTTTGCTGTCTGTTAGATACCCGTGATCTTTCTTTTTCTATTCCACAGAGTGTTTTCAGCTCTTTTCAAAATTCTAGATCCATCCATGAAGTCCAGTCTTCAACAACAGCTGTAATTTAATCTTTTGGCTTAGCAGCCAATTCAGCTGTGAAAAAGTTAAAGCTGTCACTTTTGCTTGAACAGGAAAGGGAGAGCAAGTGAGGTGAAGATTTGGTTCTGTCTGCTGTATTCTACAACAACTCCGGGGGCTGAGGGGTGGAAATCTTCATTCTGCCTTCCCATAAACAAAGTGCATGCATTATCTGGGGACATGTAGTACGTGAGAAAACGAAGACTTAAAAATACCCATAGAAATTGTTGTAGCCACCATGATGAGAAGCTGGAGCAGCTTTCCAATAGCAGTAGTAGGAGAAGAAATCTAACCAACATCAAGTTTGATCTACTTAAACTGATTTAAAAGATTGTGGCATGATTGCCTGTGCCAGCAGGAAACTGGACTTGATGACCCCAGAAGTCCCTTTCAAATCTGTTGCCTGTGTTTTGATATTTGTTTTCATTTATAGCCCAGCCATCACCTAATGTATTGTGAGCTTTTGGCATGGTTTTGTCTTTTACCCTTACAAAAGGATAGAAACCGTCAATATTGTTTCTTTATGCAGTTGGTGTTACCCCACATGGCTATGCCTCAAGGTTTGAAATCCATTTTGTTGACAAATTTGAGGTAACCTTTGGGAGAGAAGGAGAGACAATGAGTCTGGGTTGCACAGTAATCATTCATCCTGAGATTAAACGCTTCCAGCCAGAGATCCAGTGGTACAGGAATGGTGAGAACGCTTTCTAAGTGGACTGTAAATTTGTCTGACTGAAAGATTTATTCACTTTAATATCATGTGAAGGTATGATAGGAATAACTATAAGGCTATATTGTATCAAATTGATCTAATTAAAATGGGGGCAATAGATTTTTTGCAATTATTTTTCAAATAAAATATTTCCATTTTTTAAAATTCAATACTTTTCACAAATTTGAAGCTTATAAAACTTCAATTTACTACATAGATGATTAGTAAACAAGTGGGTAATTCTGTGAAAATATTTTGAAGTCTTTAAAAAAAATTATATCAGAAACATTTTAATTGGCTCTACTTTTTTTATACAGCATTCTCTATACAGTCTATTTGACTTGTGTTGTTTATTGATCCACTGAAACCTCTCTTTAGTGACCATAAAAGAGATTTATAAAAGTCAGCCCCTTCATGCTGTTGAACCACTAAATCCACTTTAAAACTGATGCAGGATCAGAGTTAGGGGGACATTGTGATTGTTTCTTAACAAGAAATTGTCTATTAAAGATGGTCTGTACTATGAGTTTCACTGTATTTAGGGATAGATTTAATTTTGCCACCTCTCTTTATGAAACACTCTAACTTCTAGGAGTTCTTATTACACCCTCCAAATGGGTTAATATGCATTGGAGTGGGGAACGAGCTACGCTAACCCTTACACATGCAAACAAGGAAGATGAAGGTCTTTATACTCTACGTGTCGTGATGGGAGACTACTATGAACAGTACAGCAGTTATGTCTTTGTTCGAGGTAAGACATGGTGATGCTACCCTATGAATTACACAAGTAGCAAGTAAATGTGGTTACAGAGTTGTTTAAGATGAGT